CTATATGCTCTATTAGGCAGACTTCCTAGAGTGGAGAGAATGGTACCTGTGCATAGCAGTTTTTGTGTAGCATTTTTGTAGTTGTCCTCAGGAATTTGGATGTGGTCTCTGTATGATTTGGGGATTTTGCCTCTGGCACAGATGGATCCCTTCAGTTAGAGTAGTGATTTGTTTAATGTATTTGGTACGGAGTCTCACTATATAGCTCGGACACGTAGTGATCCTCCTGTTTTCAGCCTCCCCAGAGCTGGGATTACAGGTGTACGCCACCATACCCAGGCTCTGTTGCCAGCCCTGTGCACCTGGGAGTGGGGCCAGCAAAGCATGTGGTGCCAGGTATCAAAACCCTGTCCCTGGGTTGCCTAAGCAGGTGCTTAGTCCACTGAGCTATCTCGCTGGCCCTAAATGCAACTTTTTCTAATGTGTTTCATACAGGATCTCACTATGCAGCTCCAACTCATAGTGATACCCCTGTTTTCAGCCTCCAGAGTGCTGGGATTACAGGCATGTGCCACCACACCTGGACTCAGTCGCTGGCTCATTGTGCCCCAGGGGTGGGGTTGGCGTGGCATTCCGAACTGGGAATCGAACCATGTTCCTTGCACTTGACAAAGCAGGCACTTAGTCCACTCAGCTATCTCACTGGCCTACTAGTGATTTTCTTTTTTACTTTGGCCTTGAACACCTGATAATAAAGGTATTTGTTTTCCAAAGCTTGGTGGTGGGAGGAGGAAGGGGAAAAGAAGAATTCACATTTGTTATGTATATGTACCAACTCTCCATGAAGAATGTAATTATGCACTGTAGATGTACAAAGAAACCCTCAGTGTTGATTATTGAAAAGGAAGTATAAAAATGGCAGCATGTAATTGTTTTTAAAGAGAATCCTTCCTCAGTTATGGATCCTATAAATTGCTGTGTGTCACACTAGCATCCCACCATGAGACCCTTTTGGCAGTGCTGTCAGGATGTAAAGACAAAAGCCATTTCTATGTGTGTGATATTATGGCATCTAGAGATGGTAATATATAGATGTACTTCCAGGTTTGATGTTGACCTCCCACTCAGAGTAGCTGCCTAAGAAGGTCTTTGTGATACTATTTTTATTTAATATTTATTCATATCTAGGCTTGGGGCTAAGTCAATTCCTTGGTCAACTACTTTTTTTTTATTTGCTTCCTATCCAGAGTCTTTGAAGGTAGTCAGTTTCCAGATGTCTTTGTCTTCAAAATGAAAGATATCTAGAATGTTCTAACTCAATCGTGCCTATCTTCTAGATGTTGCTCTTTTCTTTTCCTTCCACTCATAGTTACAGTAAGAGTCCTAAGAGGTAATAGTTACAAAATGACTTTAACTTATTTTTCCCTCAAAAGACTGGAACTGGGAGAAACAAAAAGAACAGCCCAAAGAATACCAACGGATCCTACAGTGCTTCTTAGATAGAAAAGACTGTTGCTATTCTATCCATCAAATGGGTAAGATCATAAATCAATAGTTACAAAAGCAATGCCTGTAACTATTGATAAAGTATAAAAATTGATAAAGTATAAAAACTTTTTTAAAGTATAAAAAAGAACTAGTTGTTCTTTTTTTCCTCATGCCTTACATGTGATTTCATTAAGTTATTCATCTGTTTACTTATGTAAAAAATTAGGAGTTTGTGGCTCACTGGAAGGTGTTTTGCTAACATGTTAATTTTCTCTCTTAAAACAGCACAAATGGGTGTAGGAGAAGGAAAATCAATTGGTGAATGGTTTGGACCAAATACAGTTGCACAGGTGTTAAAGTAAGTAAAAGAACCTGGCATTTGCCTATTTTTCTATCTCCTAAGCTTCTGGCCCCAACCAACTAAGCTTCCCCAGTCCCCTACATATACTTCCCTTTCCTCTAAGCCATCCACTCCTGCTTAGCTTTCAAAACATTCATGTCATTTGGCTCAGGCAATTCTTTGAAGTGTGTAAGTGTGGATGTGTCTTGATGTCAGAGTAGCAATCCTTGGTATCAGTATATGGTTATACCCCACAACTTGGTTAGCATCTTACCTACAGATTGATGTTCAAACGCCAGGGAGCCATTGGTTTAAGGGCCCTTCAAAGCTAAAAGCTTTATACTAAGCAGCAGAGGCTTAGCCAATCTGAGCAACAAATGGACTTCCTCCCTGCATAGGATAAAGAAATTCATTGTGTGTTTACTGGGTGCCTTTCTGTAGAAAGTGCTGGATATAAAAGAAAATAAAGTAGACACAGTCTTCTGCTCAAGGAACTCACTTTCTAGTGGAGGAGCCAACCCCCGAGGTAGTCTTGGAACTGGTTTGTCATTTCTTGGCAGATTCAAATTGCCCCAGTGTGGTACTTTTATAGTTATCCTGTTAAATTCCAGAGGTAACATTGCCAGTCATGTGAAAGACTCAATACTATTATGGCCTACTGGACTATTTTGGAATATTTTGCTGAGTTCACACACCTATAATATTTAAATGATGGAACTAAACAAAAAAGGGGATATAGATGAATTACCATTTTGTATCTGTGTATTCAAAATGGTTAGGATAGATATATAGCTACATTCTCTTAATTCAGTGAATAGAGGGATTTGTTCTAATAGTGTTTGTAAATAGGATATCATGTCTGCATCTTGTACAACTAATCACCACTAGGAAGGCAATATGCAATGTGTTAGTTATTGAAACTGTCCTACTAATTTGATTTGAAACATTGCTATTTGACTCTCAATAAATTATGGGGAAAAAAAACCAAAGAGGGTGGTAGAAAGCACAGCTAGAACAGGGAACAAGGTCTGGAGCCCAGCAATTTCAGAGATGACTTTTGAGGTCTGCACAGTCCTATGGATAACCCACTACGAATACTGGACTATATTGGATTATGTTGCTGAATTCATGCACCTACCCATCTCTGGCAAAACTAAATGAAAAAAGGAGATATTAATGAAGGACCATTTTGTATCTGTATATACAAAATAGTTAGGATAGATGTACAGCTACTTTCAATTCAATAAGAAGTAAGATTTGTACTAATAGTATTTGGACAGGATATCATGTCTGCATCTTGTACTATGAATAACTACTATGAAGACAATAATATGAAATGTATTAATTATTGTAACTGTCCTACTATCATGTTTTGAAACTGTCTCATTACCATTTGTTTCTCAATAAAATTAATAAAAAAAATTCCAGAGGTAGAGAGGTCAGGATCAATGCTTTACAAGTGCACAGTTGAGTAAGCATTGGCATCTATACCTGTAGGCTACCTTACCTGTTGCCATTCTCTCCTTCCTGACAACCTGTCACTAAATAAAAATGCATTAAAGGCAGAGATTGTATTTTTCTTGTTCACTATGTAACTCTAGCACGTGAAATGGCCTGGCACATAAGTGCCTCATAAATGCTTGATGGATGAAAGAAAATTGCAGCCAGAATCAGGAACGAGATTTAGGGATCAGAAGTTTGAAACCACTGGGCTTCCTTGGTGTAGTGTCATCTAGTTCCTGGGAATTATGGTGGGACTTCTTCCATGTAAAGTGCAGAAGGGGCCCTGTACAATGGGCTAGAATGCTTTGAACATATGCATATGAAGGTGAGTTGTCTGGATTTCCTATGGACAGAATGAAAACTCACTGTTTACTCCTTAAAAACAATGCAGCCTCCCTTCTAAAGTATTAAGGTAATCTAAACACTTTAGAGTACCTTTGCTTTAGAGTATCTGTTAGGTATCACTGACTGTCTTGGTTACTTTTTTCTTGTTGCTGCGATAAAATAGCTAATGCCCAAAATTAAAATGTGAAAGGTTTATTTAGCTCACAGTTTGTGGAGGTTTCAGTCTATACTCAGTTGGCTCCCAAACAGAGTGGTATATGGTATAGGGGCAACAGTTCATGGCAGTACAAAAACAGTTAAAGCAACAAAAATAAAAGGGAAGTAGGGAGAGAAAAAAATCTTGCCCTCCCTTATATTGTATTCAGGCTACCTACCCCAGGGTAGGTATAGCACTCACACCTGTAATCACAGCATTGGACCATAAATCAATCACAAACTCTGGAAGCCTGCCCTCATGACTGCATGAGGCTTTTGGGGTACATCTAGACACAAACCATAGCATTGATTATACTGAGTAAGAAGCTGTCCTATTTCAGGAACTGCTATAGGAACCCAGGGTATAACGTGTAAAAGTTTAGAATGACTATGTTGAGCCCTAAACCTCATTCAAAATGGTTAGTTTTAGAGTAATATTCCTCAGAATTTTCTTCTTTCTATTCAATGTTAAGGCTCCCAACAATGAACAAATGGGAGCACATTTTTTTAGGATTTTTAAGTGGGCTCTGGTTCATTATGATTGTTACCATTAACAATAGTACAAGATGTTCCTTGACTTACGATGGTAATTTTCTGATAACATACCATAAGTTGAAAATGTCAAGTCGGCAGTGCATCACATACACCTGAGAGGCCAGGTGAGCACTTCAGCTTAGCAGCACAGTCCACTACAGAGTCCGTTGTTTCCCCTGTGATTCTTTGATTGACCTGGTGTTGTGCTTTGCTGCTGCTGCTGCTGCTGCTCAGCATCATGAAGGAAGATCAGTCCACGTACTGCTAGCCCAGAGAAAGATCCAAATTTAATGTTGTGAGTACAGCTTCTACTGAGCATATGTTGCTGTCACACCATAGTGAAGTGAAACCATTATAAATTGGAGGAATCTCTGTATATTATTAGTATTATCTTATTATGGGAAAAGATAGTACATTAAAATGAGTAAAATAAAAGTATAGTGGTCATTAACCTACTTTTTATTACTACTTTGGTAGAAAGAATTTTTTTTTATTTTAAATAAAAATGTCTAGTGAGTTTGGTCTTTATCTGTGTATCCCAGATATAGCCAGATGAAACATGTCTTCTTTCAAACCAGCAAAGAAAAGCAGAGAGAAATAGGCAGAGTCTTATTAAAGGAGATAACCTCTCCCTTATAAGGTTCTTTATAGTCTCCCCCAAAGTCATGCAATTCAGTATGCAGTCTCTCTTCAGCTGCTGACCAATAAAATTCTACATCCATCCGTGTCTTCTGTGGCATAAGTCTCCTTAAATGGCATTTTCAGTGTAACATCAGGGAATGGGAATAAGCTC